CCCAAAAAATTATGTAAAATAAACAAGTGCTAGAAGAAGCAGAAAAAACTGACAGTGATAATTTAGAAAATAGGATTGTGTCCAAAAATCTGAAACTAATTTGTTTTACTGTGATTTTGTGTTTTTTCAAGAGTCAGATTGGCTCAACTCTAATTCTGTCATTTACTAGCATCTTATTTAACATCTTCAGTAAAATAAGGATGATAAATCCTTATAGATTTTTTCTATACCCTTTTATAGGTATAATTGCCATATAATAACATGCACATACTTAAAGTGAACTATTTTATAAGCTTTGACATACGTATTATATGTAACTGTGAAACTATCATCACAATCAAAATTATGAATATATTCATCGCCCCCAAAAGTTTCCTTGTGCCTCCTTGGTAATCCATCCCTCCCTCATCTCCACTCCCCACATCCAGGCAACCACTGATCTGCTTTCTATCACTATAGACTAGTTTTCATTTCCAGAATGTTGTATAAATGGAATCAAACAGTATGGACTCTCTTCTTGTCGGGCTTCTTTCACTCAGCAGAATTATTTTGAGATTCATCTATGTTGTTGTATGTATTAATAGTTCATCTCTTTATATTGTTGAGTAGTATTCCTTTGTGTGGATAAGTCACAATTTATTCAAACATTCCTCTGTTGATTGACGTTGAGTTGTTTCTAGTTTGGGAGCTATTGCAAATAAAGCTGCTATGAACATTCTGGATAAGCCTTTCTATGAATGGTTTCATTTCTCTTGACAAATACTTAAGAGTAGATAGGTCATATGGTTAGCTATGTGTTTAATATTTTAAGAAACTGCCAAACTGTTTTCCAACATGACTCTACCATTTTACATACCTAACAGTAGTAATGTATGAGAGTTCCAGTTGCTCCACTTACCTTGCCAACACTTGGTATGGTCAGTCTTATTAATTTTAGTCTTTCCAGTGGGAGCATATTGATATCTCATTTTAATTTGAATTTCCTTAATTATTAATGATTTTGAGCATCTTGTAATGTGCTATTTGCCATAAAGGCACCTATTCAAATATTTGACCGATTTTTTTTTTTTTTTT